TGCTCCTCTTCTCCTGCTTCGGGCACACCTTACAAAATCGGGCCCCACAAGCCCACCTGGAGGAGCCCTGAGCAGCAGCTTGTGTTCTTCTAATACAAAAATCAGAGTCCGCTCAAACAAACTCTTGCTGGGTGTGGTAGTTCATGTCTGTAATCCCAGAGACTCGGGAGGCTAAGACAGGAGGATTGCAAGTTTGAGGCCAGCCTCAGCAATTTAGTGAGGCCCTAAGCAACTGAKCGAGACCCTGTCTCAAAACAAAAAATCAAACAGGCTGAGGAGGTGGCTCAGTGGTTAAGCACCCCTGGGTTCAATCCCAGTACCAAAAAGAAAAAAAAAATCTAAGTATGCCTCAGCTTATCTTTTAATCCATGAGTAAAGGAGATGAGCTGGCCATGGGAATATGAATCAGGGGTCAAGCTGACCACAGAACCAGACAGAAGGCAGGTCAGGCCGGGGGTGGAGAGCCGAGGCCCTGTTGGCATCTGGGTGAGTCCAGCACTGGCCATGGGGGCCCAARCTTAGAATCCCAGTCCTGCTTGAGGTTCCTGAATGACTCCTCCAGGTTCCCAGGTGCACCCYGTGGCCAGGCAGGCACAACCTGGCACTCCAACCGAGGCCCCACTCACCGAGCCCCAGATGCACGGGGCTGTCCCCTGTCCCCCCTTCCTGAGTGGCTCTTTCTGCCTAGAATGCCCGTCACCTCATTCTCTGTCTGGACCACTTTTCCCCTGAGGCCCAGATTGAAGGCACAGCCCTCCCTGGCGACTCTAGCTCTGTGCTTGCTTCTGGAGTCCTCCTTACACTGCCCATGGTCGTCCTCCCAGAACCTGCAGAGGTCCCCTCACTCGTTAGAGACTRTGCGCTTACTCGGCACCTTCTGCGGACCAGCTGCTGTCCCGGACACAGGTGACGTGAAGGCCATCGTGTCCCTCCTCTGCTGAAAGCCTTCCCAGAGCGCCCCTTTGCACCCAGTGTATGGACGCCCTTCCTTGGGCCTCAAGGCCTCTCTGGCCCACNGTATGGACGCCCTTCCTTGGGCCTCAAGGCCTCTCTGGCCCACGCCTGCTGGTCCTGCTCACCCCCCAGTGTCCCTTCCTGCCCCTCCCCACCCCCAGCCTTACGTCTCAGGGCCACAGCGGACGCTATTTCTCTGCCTGGGTCACTCTGAGTCCCAGCTCCTTCCTGTCCTTCAGCCTCACCAGAGTCCAGGCCCGGTGCTGCCCTYCCTGAGGGACTCGGCACTGAATCCCGGGGGCCTGCAGCTCCAGGCRGGAGCTGCCTCATCTGTTTGCTTTTTCTCTTTCTTGTCCATTTTATTTGCTGGTCTGTGTTTTGGCCTCTCGAGGACAAGCTCCAGGGGGACAGGCTTTGTTGGCCACTCGGTCCTCAGCTCCTAGAGTGGAACGCAGACTTGTGGAACAGCACTGGACTCAGGTGGGCCAGGTCTGAGCTTGACCTTCAACATGGAAGCCCACCGGACCTTCAGCTAGCCATGTCACTCTCTCAATGTCCTCGTGGTCAAGTGCAGCGAGAACACTTGCTTAGATGGGTCGCTCCGAGGAAGAAGCCACACTGCTCCTACAGGTTCTGACTACGGTGAGACTCCTGAGTGTCCAGGAAGGTGGTGCTGAGGGGTTGTGCACAGGAGGAACAGCACCAGCAACCCACCCTATCGGACACGGAAGGACAAACCCCCTGCCCCAGCCTGAGCCCAGCCACAGCCCTCCATGAAATGGAGGAGGATCCTGCTCTGAGGACCACATTAGTTCCAGCGCAAGCTGTGGGCCAGGCTCCAGCCCAGCATTCCCCACTATGCCAGGTCACCACCACTCAGGGGCCCCCCAGGGAGCTTACACTCAATGCATCCGGGAGCTGTGGTGGCCTTCCAAGAAGAATCCCCACATGCCCCATAGCCCCTGCACTGAACACTGTGCACAGGACAGACTGAGGCCCCGTGGTCATCTCCTGTGGCCACACTCGCCAGTTACCACAAACTCCGCGGCTTAAAGCAACACAAGTTTATTCTTTTTCATGTTCTGGAGGTCAGAAGTCTGAAAGGGTGTCAGGGACTTCTGGGGACTCTGAGGAGGATCTCTTCCCTGGCCTTTTCCAGCCACCAGAAACACCTGCTTGGGTGGCACGTGGCTCCCTTCTCCATCCTCAAACCCAGCAGCATGGCATCCTCCAATCCCCCTCTGCCCCTGACCCTCCTGCCTCCATCTCATGTGTCCCDTGTGGTGACCACAGGCCCACCAGAGAGCTCAGGATGCTTAACCGAGTCACACTTGCTAAGTGACTTCGCCGTGAAGGGTACACACTCAGATTCTGGGGCTGAGGATGGGGACATCCTTGGTGGGCCACTCTTCTGCCCACCACAAGTGGGATGAGCTTGGCTTGGGGGCGCAGGCTGCACTGCACCTCCTGCCTCCCTACCGACTCTGTTCAAAGTAGAACTCAGTGCGGGCCGAGGGCTCGCTCTCCTTGGCAAGCCTCACCGGCTGCTGGGGCTCCTCCAGGCCGCAGAGGAACCAGCTAGGGCAAGCGGCTGCCTCCAACCTGAAGGCGGAGCCCAGGCTGCTCTGGAAGAAGGTGAAGCGCGTGGCCCGTTCGCCTCCCTTGTACAAGTCCTCGATGTTCACGTCCTGCGGGGGCAAGGTGGCCGCTGCAGGACCAGGGTGCTGATGGGGGTGTGGCCCTACAGGTCTCTGGGGCTCAACCAAAAGGGACGTGCCTTGTGCAGATTCCCACAGGCAAGGCTCTTAGTTCTGGGCACAAGGGGGAGGGTGGAAGTTTGAGGAAGGAGGACGGTGGCCCCGAGGAAGGGGGACAGCRGCCCTGACCAAGAATCCACAAGTGGGTGCAGAGCACCCCGGGGCCAGGCAGGGTCTGCACCGCCCCCAGAGAGGGGCAGGGACTCACCTCCAGCTGCAGGGAAGGTCCCTCTTCTGTCTGCACACATGYCAGGCAGCGGCTCCCTCCCTGGAGCCCCAGGAGGATGGGGACCTTGGCCCGGTCCAGGTCTCTGTTAGGAAGTACGCAGATCTTCTCTGGGAAGAAGACAGAGACAGGAGATGAGGGCATCCCAGGCTGAGGGTCTCAGGGAGCAGAARCCCTGCAGGCCTGGCCACACCTGGGCTGCAGGGCCAGCAGGACTCTGCAGGGTCCTTTTGGGCCAAAGCTGCCCCCTGCCTCTTTYTGTCAGGGGACAGCTGCTGCCCCTCTGGTGGGGACAGAAACACAGAGAAGTGGGGGCTGCGGTGGACGGAGCGTGGCGCAGGGCCCGGATGGAGGCCAYGGGAAGCTCACCAGCGCTGCAGTCAGCGGTGTCGGGGTCGCCCACCAGCAGCTGGCCATMTCTTGTGTACAGCGCCTTCTGATCCGCATCCTTGATTCTGGAACAGAATGGCAGCGCTGAGGGTCTGTTGCATTCAGGCACCACTGAGACCCCAAGCCCTTCCTCTAACCCGCCGCACTGAGCGCGGGGATGCTTGCTTCTCCACCAGAGCAGGTCAAGACGRCTCTGTCTTAATGAAGCGAGAGAAGACCTCCTCCCCTGGGCTCCTGGTTTCCAGAGGCTTGGAAGAGTGAGGGCAGCCAGCCTTCTCGTGGAGGGGTAGAGAGAGTTCTCTCACGAGGCTCAGGTGTCTCAGAGATACAGTGAGCCTTACCCCAAATTTTCCCAGCTTGCTCCAATTTTTATCAATGTTTATTCTATTTAATAAAAGAACTAATCAAGTTGATAATGAAGCATGATTTGCTTCTTCAGATATTTTAAAGACTTTCTGTAGGAGAAAATCTGCAAATTGGAAAACAAAAATTAAAATATGCTGTGCTAGGTAGGTGWCCATCCAGCCCCTGGGAGCCAGGGCCTGGTGTGCTCCAGGTGGACCAAATACAGGTCAGCAGAAAGCCCAGGCAGAGCCAGATTGCAGTCATCTGGGGGTGGCTGTGGTCCTAATGACCAGCCTGGGAGGGCAGGAACGTGCCGGGCAGGCTGGGGAGAAACCCAGGTGAGC